TATACAAAGCAAACATATATTTTCTATCCTTAGACTCATTTGCACCAAAGGAATCCACCAGATTTCCTACAATGCTTTCATTAGATCCTGAACCACGATCTATCTCATCTGGGGTCACCTTTTATATACAAAAATGCTTTTTTTTTTTTTTACAGGCTTATCTGTTCCAGGAATGGCTGCTTGATCAGAAAACAGACAGAAGACAAACATTACTCGGGGAAAAGTTGAAATATCTCAATCTGAATCACAGTTAGCCAACAAAACAAACTGATGAAATTAGCTATTTGTTTTACTGTTTTAGTGCCGGTCATTTTGGGGTGTTTTTGGGGGAATGGGAACGCAGGCATTCTGCAAATGAGTCATTGGGGTTGATTTACTAACCTTATAAACACACCACGAACATGTATACACCTCTGTAGTGTGTTCCCTCCCAGCATGATCTATGGGTGGAATCTAAACACCTTTGTAGTGTGTACACACCCAGCAGGTGTGTTGTGCAAAGCCCTGCATGAATTACAAGGTGATGTTGTGTAAATTAGCTCTATGTTGTGTTGCTTGCATTGATGAATGCAGGAATGTAAATGCATGAGCTAACCATTTTTGTCTAAACTGTGAAGGAGCATTATATATGCATCATGTGCATGATTTTTCCATATATGGCATTAGTGGAAATATGTTTTTAGAGACTTTTTGGTTGATAAATACGTTTTGCTGTGTGAAAATCACACGCACCTGGTGCGTGTGTTTTAGGTTAGTAAATCACCCCCATTGTCCATGTTCGTATGATTACTATCAGGTGTAGGGGGCGGCCATGGGGACTGCTTGCGCCCCCATCGTATGCCAAGCTGTACCTGGAAGTATGGGAATGCAAGCATTTTGCATATGGATCATTGTCTGTCAGCTTACCTCAACCAGCGTGCCATAGCACCGTAGTGTGCCTTCTGGCTTCCTCAAGGGTGCCTCATAATTTGCACTCAGTCATTCCTCTTATGTGAAGAGGGCTCCCGATGTGAAAGAGGGGGACTCTGATGCTCTGATGTGAAAGGGGGGCCGTGATGTTAAGGAGACTGTGATGTGAAGGGGAACCTCACTTTTGTGTGTGCTTTTTTGCATGGGGTCCCTTCTTAAAATTCATACCAGATCCCATCACTAATAAGGGTCTTGTATGGATTTTAGATGGACCACATATCGTATTTTATATTTACAGTTTTTACATTTTAGACAGGGATGCCTTGAGATTTTGTATACTTTTAAAGGGTGCTGTGACTGTAAAAAGGTTGAGAAACACTGCTATATACCTATAATTGCTATCAGGTGTAGGGAATGGCTATGGGCACTGCTTGTGCCCCATCATATGCAAAGCTGTAGCTGGAAGGATGGGAAAGCAAGCATTTTGCAGATGAGCCATGGTCTTTGTACCAAGAATTACTGTCAAGTGGGGGTGGGGTGGCCATGGGGGCTACTTGTGCCCCGTCGTATGCTAAGCTGTACCTGGAAGGATGGGAATGCAAGCATTTTACAGATGATTCATTATCTTTGTACCTATAATTATTGTCAGGTGTAGGGGGCAGCCATGAGGGCTACTTGTGCCCCAGTGTATGCCAATCTGTACCTGGAAGGATGGGAATGCATGCATTTTGCAGATAGATCATTGTCTATGTACCTATAATTACAATCTGTTATAGGGAGCAGCCATGGGAACTGCTTGTACCCCATCATATGCCAAGCTATACCTGAAAGGATGGGAAAGCAAGCATTTTGCAGATGAGCCATTGCCTTCATACCTATAATTACTGTCAGGGGTAGTGGCCATGGGAGCTACTTGTGCCCAGTCGTATATGCTAAGCTCTACCTGGAAGGATGGGAATGCAAGTATTTTGGAGATGAGTCATTGTCTTTGTACCTATAATTATTGTCAGGTGTAGGGGGCAGCCATGAGGGCTACTGGTGTCCGAGCGTATGCCAACCTGTACCTAGAAGGACGGAATGCAAGCATTTTGCAGATGGATCATTGTCTGTGTACTTATAATTACTATCTGTTGTAGGGAGCGGCTATGGGAACTGCTTGTACCCCATCATATGCCAAGCTGTACCTGGAAGGATGGGAATGCAAGCATTTTGCAGATGGCTAATTGTCTATGTATCTATAATTACTTTCTGTTGTAGGCAGCGGCCGTGGGAACTGCTTAAAGGGTTTCTAAAGCCTCCGTTTGTTTTCATATATCTACTGCTAGTGAGCAGTAGATATATGCAAAAAGTTCAAATTTAAAAAAAAAACGCTTTAACAGCGGCTTAAACTTACTCCGTCTTCGACGTGCGCTCCTGTCAGAAAATCCAAAACTGCTCGGGCGGCCGCAAAGCATCTTGGGGCGGGCGCATGCGCAGTTCGGATTTTCGGCTGGGAGACGAGGAGAGACGCAAGGTAAGTTTATGGACGCGTGCAGACACAGTGGGACTGCAAGTGCCAGCAAGGACAGAGGAGTCAGCGCTGGATTGGAGAGCCGCCACAGTGCTTGAGGGACAGATGTAAACATCAGGAAAGAAGAAGAAGATCGGATTAAGAGACATCATTTAAGGTAAGTGCTAACATTAACATTGGGGGAGGGAATTTGTTTTTGACTTTAATGTCACTTTAAGCTCAATCATATGCCCAAGCTGTACCTAGAAGGGCGGGAATGCAAGCATTTTGCAGATAGATCATTGTCTGTGTACTTATAATTACTATCTGTTCTAGGGAGCGGCTATGGGAACTGCTTGTACCCCATCATATGCCAAGCTGTACCTGGAAGGATGGGAACACAAGCATTTTGCAATTTTGTCTATTTATCCTGGCACAGATATATATACAGGTGACATATTGTTTTTTTGGACAGATGGAGCAGAATTTTTGCCCACCTCTGTGTATGTTCGTTGTACTCTGTAATTTGACATGTGGTCTGTTATACCTGCTGTGAGTGTGACATGTGTCACTGCATTTTCCCACTGACCACCAATGTAAAGAACAATTGTCCCTCTGATCATAAGGCTTTGTTCCTACTTACTAGACTTTAGGTATTCTCACTGTCATGGTGATTACTTGTGTATTGTAATGATTGTTAGTTTGCAGCTCACATATTACAACTGACTGACCATTTGCTTCCCGTGTATTACATCAATGGATGTTTGTTGCCCACATATTGTAACAATTGACTCTTCATCTGCGTATTGTATAAGGTGGCCCGTTTATAGCTCATGTGTTGTCAGGATTACCCTTTTTGCCAGGTTCCCACCATTTAGAGAACCATATTGTTATCAGTGAATCCCCTGCAGGCCAAGTCACTATCAAACCACACCATTGTAATCCTCATGTTTGAGTACAGATCTGTATTTTGATTTAGGCTGTTTCACAGCCCAGTTTATAGCTAAATTTAAGGAGTCACCCCACTCATGACTAAGAGGTTACATTCTCTGGACTGTCTGTATGGTGTGTTGTATGTTATACTGCAGACAGACCCACTCTGTACACTGTGCTGTATGGTCCAGGCGTGGTGTCACCTGGTGCGACCGCTGGGTGTCACCTGCTGTTACGTCATCACACACGTGTAATGACATCACATGCGCTTAACTGCTGGTGGCTATCTTGGTGATGGAGAGGAGGGGACAATCACCTAGCAGGATAAAGTATGCTGCTGGGATCCTTCTCTTGTGCAACTTTTCAGAGGGGGGTCACTCCTTCTGATGGTGTCACCTAGTGTGGGCTGCACCCCCCCTGTGTCGCCACTGCCCAGCAGGACACAGATAGCAAAGGAAAAACTCAATAGGGGTTTAACCCTTTCCTACTCTATCCAAAACTAAAAAAAAAAACACAAACCTTTGGCTTTCAGGACGCTTTACATACACTTTAACCATGTGTTGCTTACTCAGTGTTCAGCATTCCTACCTTGGCCATGGGCTCAAATCCCAACAAGGACGCCATGTGCATGAGGGTTATGTTTTATAGAGCTGCATTCCGCAGAAAAATTCAGATCTTTGAATATCTGCCATTGTAAATTGAAGTGTATGTGCAGTTTACCCGAACAATACACTTCTTTTCTTGCTCTTTATCCGTTAGATATACCATGGGAAGTGTTTTGTTATATCAGTTTTATGCTCTTATTACATTCCTGTTGATCCTGCCAGAAATCTTCGGGGCTGATAACTTTCCTCTCTGCCTCTGCTGATTGTTGTCAATTACATTGTTCTTTGTTCTCCTCCTGTGGGCTACAAAATGCCCCCACTCCCAACTTTGGTTTGAAGATAAGGAGAAGGGGGTGTTCTGTAGCCCTGCCCTGCTTTCCAGCACAAATACAAAACTAAGAAGAAAAAAAAAGGTTTTGGCATTAGATATACTTTAAGGGTGCCGCTTACGTCTATGAATTGCAGTAGTATGCTCTTATTGCGCTTAAAATTACTTTTTATACCATGCGTTGCTCTAACCCGTGGTGAGTCAACACCACCAATGAAGGGGCTGCCTTAATGCAATGCTCATTTACACACAGCAGTGCGTATCCAGACTAAGGGTCTCATTCAACTGATTAGGATGACAAAACACAGCTTGCAATATAAACAGCCTATTCCTTATACATGGACACCAAAATAAATCTATGTCTGCTTTATTTTTATAGAAAATAATCTGCTGTGAAATGTCAGTCATCTTTGGCTGGGGCGTGGTTTGGGGTTCCTCGGAGGCGTGGCCTATTACGTGGCCTTGTTCTGTATATTTTCATATCTCGCTGATATCATCCCACAATTTCTCCAGCTTAAACACTGCTGTCATGGCCGCCTGCTGCTTATAGGAGGACATCATGAGCTGTGATGGGCAAGAATGATTTTGGGAAGTTTTTCCCAGCATCGCTTCACATAAAGTTTCTCATCAGCTGCAGGAGACGGAGTTTGCAGAGCCGCTAAGAATATTCTACAGAGTTTTGGTTTTGTCATGTCTGGATTACAGGCGAGTCTCCTTCTGTGCCCAGTATGTGCTCTGGAGTAGATGACCATTACCGCCAAGGTTAGAGGGCGTGGGTGAATCCTTACACCCTACGCAAGGGGCGTGGCTTTCCTCTGACAGGCATCGCTTCCGCAGCATTAAGAGTATGGCGGAACAGAAGAAGATGAAGCCCGCACCCAGCGACACTGTCACCCCCAAATAGATGAACCTGGAAAAGACAGAGTGTTGGTTACATAGGTTGAACTGGATGGACCTGGGTCTTTATTCAACCTCACCTACTATGTTACTATGTTACTTCCAACAAGACAAAAGGCTGAATTCACAATGCTTTAACACAAGGATAAGGATCTTTTCACCATGTGACCGTCATTTTCAAATCTCATTGGACTAAGCAGGAAGCAACTGTAGCTTTTGTTTAATTGAATGATTCTCATCTCAGTCTGAGTCTGGAGTGCAACTTTAAGGCCTGGTACACACCAGGGCGTTTTACAGCGCATTCCTACGCGCTGTAAAACGTTCAACATGTAAAAACCAATAGTTGCCTATGGGCATGGTTGCCACCTGGGCGCTTTACAGAGCGTAGAACGCGCTGAAAAACACACTACGCCCAAGGAAATAAAGGAGCTTCTTTGGGGCGTTTTCCCGCGCGTTTCCATTGGTATTCCCGAGTGTGGCTCGGGGTTAACAAAGCGGTAACCCTGAGCCACACTCGGGAATACAGCATACAGGTCTTACCCTGTCCGCGATCCCCGCTGTGTCCTCTGGCGGCTGCCGACTTCCAGGTTCCGTCCCTTGTGAGCGGCCACATCGCAGGGGGGCGGAGCCGGCGGGAAGTTTGAAAGTGGAAACATTTTTATTTTATTGTTTACATAGAGAAAATAAGGGGAAAAAAACAAAAAAAAAACATACCGCCAGTGAAACGCACGTTTCACTGAATGGAAAAACGGGCTAAAAAACGAGCTGAAAAAATACGCTCAGGTGTGAACCCAGCCTTACTCTTTTATGGGGTCATTGATGCCTAGATGTCAGATTTAGCAGCATCAGTATGTTGGTTAACTTGACTATAACTAAATGACAATATTGCCCTCCTAAAAATGTTCACATTTTTTAAGGACAAACTATGAATTCATTTGGTATACTGCTGCCAAAAAATCTCTGCTCTGTTTTTTATTATATTCTGACAAATTGAGAAAAACATGAAATGCCAAAAAAGTCTTCACATGTTTAACCTCCCTGGCAGTCTGATTATTTCCTTTTTTGTTTCCGTTTTTGTACTTTTAAATTTCCCGCCGGTTTCGCCCCCCTGCGACGCGTACACTCGCAAGGGACGGAAGACGGATGGCGGCATCGGCCGGAGGACACAGCGGGTAACGCTGCTGTGTAATCGGGGTTACCGCTTTTGGTAATGAAAATTAACCACGAGCCACTCTTAGGATTATTGCCTGGGAGGTTAATTCATTTTTTGTTTTCTATTGTAACTGTATTAGACAAATGCAGTATTAAACAGAGAAACGCTGCCATCTACAGGATGTAGTGGCCTCTGAAACCTGAAATAATTCAGCTTGCATGTAATATAGATATCATAGCTGGCATGATCACATAATCAGCGACCACTCTGAAGAGCCTGCTGTGACTTTCTCCAAACCACAAATCTGCCTCGTGAACCTGACTTCCCTATTAGTTACTAACTTTATTATTATACAGGATTTAAATAGCGCCAACAGTTTGCTCAGCGCTTTACAATATAAAGGAAGACATTACAACATTACAATGACAATACAATTCAAGACAAGATGGTAAGGAGGGCCCTGCCCTTGAGGGCTTACAATCTAAAAGGGAGGGGCCAGTGATACATGAGGAGGTCCTAAATATATGTGAATAGGTGTGGTGTCACTTTTTATCTGGCAGGAAATGTTTAAAATGTAAGTCCTACCGGAAGCGATCGGTGTTGTAGAGGCGGCAGAAACCTCTCGTATTGCAGCTCCGGCTCCCCCACTTCAGGCAGGTGCTGTCAATTAGGGCCCCGAGGTACATGGGGGCTGGCACCCCTGCTGGAGAGGACACATATATATGCAAGCATTAATTCCTCTCTGAGGTGGTGGATTTCTCTGCTTTTATTAGATCATTCATTGGTTTCTATCCTGCCGTGCTGGGAAGTCCCTGCATCTGTGTGACTCAATATAGTTAGAGAATAGGGATGAGGTGATTTAGTTGTAATATTAGCCTCCAATTCTGCCATGTGGACTGTTTAGGTAAAATTGGCTTTAAAAAAAAAAATCACAAAATCACATGGGGCTTGTTTTCTGACATGCATGTGATCACTACGTTAGTGCCGATTTATAAATGGTTTATTGATTAACAAAGCCAAACTTAACTATTAAGCAAACCCCAATGGTAACCCACATCATAACCATTTGTTTATATTCAAAGCCATGTAATCATAATGTGACGATCACAAGGCCTGGTTGATGAGCAAGGGGTTAGGGTTGCTGGGTTCCTCTATAGATGATATGTTGTTCTTAGTTAATGACGGGATGTTTTTTGGCACAAGAACAGATCCCGGATAGGTGAAAGGAGCTTCTGTAACCCTCAAGAGACATTTAAAACCAATTCTATCCTTAAAAACCACCATAAACCACCTTTCATTCATTTAACCCATTCACTGCAATGTATTTCACCAAAAGTTCCCTATTGTCTCTGAAATTTTGTCAAATTTTGGGGTGAAAATTCCCAGTATGGCTCATCCCTAATATAGAAAAATTATACCACACATGTCTATATAAATGGAAATTTCCCATGAGGCTCCAGAGACATGGCAGTGGTCTGATACCAAATCTCTGATTAATGAATTTACAATCGAGGTGTCTATGTAATTTGTTCTTACCAAGAACCCTGATGGCCATTGTGTAGATCCCCAGAGCCAGAGACTTCAGCTCAGGTTTAATACATCTGAAAATACAAAGAGATTTGTCAATGTTTGTCTGTGTTCATGTATGTAATACCGCACAGCCGGTTCATGGTCCATCCCAAGGTCCAGGCTGACTAGAGTGGGATTACAGAGTCATCAGACATTGGAGTGATTGCCACAAGTCCTGATACAGATAACCAGCTGGCAATTTACAACTATACTGGCAGTTCAGGGACAAGATTGCAGGGTTGCAGAGCAGAATAAGACAATTTAAAATGTAATCTTTTTTAATTGTGTTTCCATTGTAACAAGCAGTGAAAAACCAGAGCCTTGGTGCCTTCTATGAAATGATCGAGTTGAGGTTCAGGAGACCGTTCCATAAGACACCAGCTGCCACAGTGATTTTAGTTTTGCATTGTACCAACAATCTGAACACCGACAGAAATATGTTATGTTAGTCAGTGTGACCTGCTGCTAGAGGAGCAGGGCCATCTCTATAATGAGGCAGTTGCCTCAGGCAGCATCTCATTGGGTCACATGGTAAGGGGGGTGACAGGTGTGCCTGTTGCCCCCTTTCAGGCCAGAGCATCCCAGGTTGCTAAGAGTTCTAAGCAACCTGTAATGCTCTGGACTGTGTCCTTTCCAGCATGTGGCAACCAGTGACGCCACTGGTTGCCAGGAGCTGAGCAGGACGCTCTGGCCACCAGATATGTCAGGGAGCTGGAGGGGATGCTGGACACTGCCCCCAACCTCCCACACCCCCATCCCGGTAACATGCACCATTAGCAACCCTCCATAATGTGCACTAGCAGCACCACCATGACCCAGACACTGCTAATAACAAATACAGAATTGAGCATTACGGCCAAACGTCTGTGGACCCCTGACCTTCACAACTATATGATCTTGTTGGACATCTTATTTCAGTACCATGGCCATTAATATGGAGTTGGCCCCTCTTTGTGGCTATAACAAATTTCACTCTTCTGGGAAGGTTTTCCACAAGATTTTGGAGTGTCTGTGGGAATTTGTGCCCAGGTGTGATGGTAGTGTCAGGTAGTGCTGGAGGACAAGACCTGGTCAGCATCCCAATTCTTCCCAAAGGTGCTCAGTAGGTTTGAGGTCAGGCTTCTATGCAGGACAACTGAGTTCCTCTAAGCCAAACTGGTCAGATCATGTCTATACGGAGCGGGCTTTGTGCACAGGGAAGGAACAGAAAAGTGCCTTCACTAAAACTGTTACCACAAGGTTGGATGCCCACAATATGTCTTTGTTTGCTGTAGGATTACCCTTCAATGGAAACACCTAGAATCCATCATTTGGAAGGGTTTGGGGGGAGGGGGGCTCAACATACTTTTGGCCATACTGTATATCCCTTACCCATGATATAAAAGATCACATTGTCCCTGCCCTAACTTGCTGAAGAAACCAAGGCTCCCCGAGCCTTAAGAATGTTCCCAGCCATTTCATCCATCATACAGTGAATTTATATAAGTTACTGTACTTTACTAAGCATTGTGATAGACCTCCAGAAGGGTGAGCGCAGGGGGCGGGGTCACCTCAGTAGCAGGATGTATCCAGGAGTCCCTCCGAGAGACAGCGTGAAGGATGTAACCACAGATATCGCCATAAAGTACAGGAACATTCTAGAGCAATGTCTTCCTTTGGAACATGAACCAGCCATGGCGGAGCCACCTCGGGAACCCGATGATGGCTGCATCACACAACTGCAGTTATAATACACCTGCAAGATAGAACGCAAAGTGATCTCCAGATCATCCAATCAGATTTCAACTGCATGATAGACTAATGAGAGATGAATTCTGATAGGTCATTCTGAGTTTCTGAACTCTCCAATTTGTATCTCTCTTCTACATATATACGGTTCAGAAGACATTCTTGTATATTGATGGGTCACTTACTGCAGTGTTGCCAGTCCTGTTGGACAATCGGCAGCCGGCGTAGCAGGCAGAGTAATAGGTGACCCCGTTGTCTCCACAGACTGGTTCCCATTGGTTCTTTGGACACAGACACTGAAAATTACATTGTGAGATGGCGCTTTCCTGGGAGGAGATCTCTGTGGATCTAAACAGAGACCACATTGCATCAGACCACATACACATCTGACCACATTGCCTGCTAAGCCCCCCCTATGGTGGTAATACTTCTTACCAACCAAAGTGATCTTACCCCTCATAGGAGACAGTCAGGCCGGCCACCGGGGAGAGTTCACAGCCCAGCGCAAACAGCGACATTAATATCATGTATCCGATCACGGAGGATATCAGTAACAGTTTTGCTGCTCCCAGAATATTAATGTGGAATTTCTTCATGACGAGCCCTCCGGAGAAGATCCCAAGAGCCACGGCCGGAATATTAATTAGACCTGAAAGAGGGAAGATGACCATGTTAGACGCCAACCTTTGTTCTGTCATCTGGTCCCATCCAATCCTGCTCTCTGCTAATTGTCTACAGATTCCAACCAAATAACCAATCCCTTCTCTCAATGGAGGGAAACCAGAGGAGGTACACCGCTCAGGGTGGTGTCATTATTTTAGTTGCCTTTCCCCAGAACTTTTCATTTCAGATTTTTTTTTTAAATGACAAAAGAGCCCTGAAAATTGAGCTCTGAAATAGACCAAAGTGCAGGGCAACAAATCCGCCATTTTGCCCAGCTTTCTACTTCTGGATAAACAGTTTATCAGAGAAGGTTCCATTGACGCAATCATCCTTGATCCTACAGTCATCCGCCAATGTGTGCCACCAATATAAACTAATATCAGTGTGCATGGCGCTACACACTATTCTTTGTCATGTGAGCCAGCTGGGATCACACCCGGGCCGGATGCAGCTACTACAGATCATTGAATGTGCCAATTATTTGCACACATAAGGGCCATGGGGCGATTGTGATTAGCACATGGTAAACTTTATTGTATGAAATACAAACATGTTTACCGTGTTACCTCTGAAGGATTTGTCATTCTGTTCAACCAGTCTGGTGATTTACAAACATTTCCCACAATGCAAAGCCAGACAGGTGACACGCTACGTTTCTGATTTAGCAATTCAATTCAATCTCCTCTTTGGGCAGTATCATCACCTTCTGTCCAATGAACAGGGAGCTGACCCATGACTGCTGACTTACTGACTGGCAGAGCTGTGTGTCACAATTACAAATCCTCAGCCAGGTATATCAGTAATTATGAAGGTACAGTGTGTATGTCGCCTGGGAATTTAGTGGTTTGCCTGGGAGATAGCCTAAAATTGAGGGTGATTCTGGAGTCCAAAGGTGGCACTGGAAAACCCTTTTTTAGAGCTCCCTTTCATAGTTTTAGGTCTTAGACAATTAATGGCAGTGCTGAAATTTGCAGAGATTTGTTACACAGAACACAGAATATTATTTGATGACACAGTGCTGCCTTCTAGTGGCCGTTTTATGACACAACAAGCATTCCAAAAATGTTAATTAAAGGAGAACTATGGAGTTAAGTCTTTTACAGTGGCGTAACAACCGGGGGGCGTTCGCCCCGGGTGCATAGATGGCGGGGGTGCCTGCCGCGAGCCGGGCCGACTGTCACGAGAACAAGGCACCAGGCATCAGGCTCCGTTATGGCAGATTATGCGGCCGAGGCTCCAGCATGGCCGCATAACCTGCCATAATGGAGCCTGTTGCCTTGATCTGTTTGACAGTCGGC